TCAGTCAATTAATGAAACTTTATGACCATTTCCAATGGCCAATGTACAGCCCTAATTACAGAGAACACTCGCAGAATTGTGGCCATTAAGTATTACAAATAACTGTTCATATTAATCACTTTAAAAAGCCAATTCATGCACAGGTTTTACTACTAACTTAGCTGGATTTTTAGAGGCCATATTTTTGTAAGCTATCTTGTCAGTAAACAGAAGACCAGAAAAAGCTTTCTCTGCCAATTGCCATCCAATAAAGACATTTTAAAATGTTAATGTGTTGTAAAATACAGTTAACAAGAATGATTAAAGAACTTGGAAAGAATGGAGCAATATGCTTCATTTACACTGTAAGTACTAGACCCATAAATCAAATGGTATTTTTAATTTGTTGGAATTTTTGGGACTTACATAACTTCCCACTAGTTGCATTTAGAGAAAAATATTGGGCAAAACCCTCACAAGACCTTTTTAATGGAATTTTCTCCTTTAAGTGTAGTATACTAGTTCTTTGTGGATAACTAATCATGTTTCACTATTTTGTATCTCGGGTTGCACTCCAGTTACGTGATATATCAGTAGTCATGAGAGCAGCCAACGGCAGCGTGACTAATGGTATGGGGGTAAAGTGGCTATGCTGCAGTGGAACTGTGTCTGAATTTCTTTTCTCATTTAGAAACTCATTGTTTCTTAAAATTTGTAAGTTGAAAATGTCATAGACTGAGTGCTTTCTGCACGCAGTCAAATAATGTACATTGTTAATAATTTATGCATTTGAAGAAAAACATACTGATTTGACAGCTCTGTCTGTGGCTGAACCACATAAGTAGTTTTAGACATATTTGAATCTTTAGCTCTCTGTGTCCAGCAATGAATTACAGAAAGTAATGTACTAATACTGTCTGATACCTAGTCTTCATCAGTAATCAAAAACTGAGGATCCGTATCACTGGTGGGAACAAGAGCAGTCAACATCTGCGTTATACAAATACTGCTTTTGCACTTCCAAACATTACTAAAACATAAATGTCTGCATAATTTAAGTCTGTTACTGTCATAAATGTATGTTTTACCTAACAAAGTGCATGCTAATGCAGAGTTGTTTTGTTTTCAGAGTGATTATGCTGCTTTGCCATTAATTCATGTGTGTACTGTGACAAGATGTAATGGCGTATCATGTTGCTTTAATGTAATGAATCCAGTACTCCCAGCTCTTAAGTCATGTTGCTGGAAATGGTTACATAAAACAGAAATGACTGTGACTAAAGCCCTTGCAAAGCTTCAGAACTCCTGCACATTATAAGAAGCTTTTCAGGGGGTGATTAGAGTAACTTCTTTAAAATTTACTGTAGGCTTCCCTTGGTAAAATTTTTACTCTTTTCTGACTATTTTTTGCATTCCAGTGAAATTTACATTATCTTTTAAGCATTGCAAAGGTTGAGCTTTAATTTTGTTCAGATGTGTATGTTAAGTGAACATGATGTGCTTATTTGTTACATTTATGCTACTTTTCTTTTTTCATCCGAATAAGATGGATGAAATTATGTATTAAATAAAAACATCAGTCATTTATCCATGACCATTCTATGCAGGTCCTGTAAGACTGCAAAGAGATTGCTTTTAGAATGAAGGTGATTGCAAAGGTTTCTGAGTATTCTCTAAATCTCAAAACCATAAAGCTCAAAATTCTAAACTGTTTAAATTTCACCCTGTTCTTCCTAAGACTCTGGCAATTCTTGGTCTGAGTTGATGTACCTTGAGCAGGAAGTTCACCATTCGTTCACATACTCAGCATCTTCCCCATTTCTGTTAACTTGTCTTTAGGTTTTGTCTTTCTAGTAGACAAGCATGGCACTTGAGCTACTGCAATGTATTATTTATTTCACATATGTAGCCAGGCAAATACTTTAAGGACTTTCATTTCTGCACAGATCATTCATGTTCTTATGTTCTGCATGTTGTTTACAAATTGTGTGAGATATTTCAAGGATTGTAGTGAGATCATTTAATATTAAGATCAAAATATTTGAATTAAGAGAAACCTCTTTTTTCCCCCATAGTTGTATCTGAGTGCTACTGCCAACTGCATGTCTTTTTTTTTTCCCTGATTTAGAAATACCTCGTGGAGGAAGTTGTTGTGTTGCTTTTTTAATAAGGAGAAAATTAATTTTTTTCTTAGCAATGACATTTTAAAATAGAAATTATCAGTATAATGCACCACTGTTCAGTCAGAGAGTTGTGCTTTTTTTTATCGCTGTTTTTTTTTAGGCCAAATGCCCTCAGGCTATATTCGAGTAATAATGATACATTAAATATGTAATTAGATTGAACAGTATTTCTAAAACTAACTGCATCTGCAATCACTAAGAAGTTACTTTAATTTGGAAATACTTTAATACATGGATTTATGAAAGCCTGTTCTAAAATGGTGAGAATTTCCAAAATACAAGTAATACTGTTTCTTATCGAGAATATTTCTTCTCTGCGCATGTGTGTGCTGGGTTTTGTTACAGTGCTCTGTTTTGCCTGTGATATATAACCATAATTCTGAAATATTCTTAACAAAATGCCTGATTTTTAGAACATTAAAATTCTGTAGAATTTGGTGGGACGTCTCATGTACTTAGACCTGGGCACACGTATAAGCATCATCTTCAGGTGGAGCCAAAATTTTCCTGCGAGCAGTAACCACACTAATAAGTTATTTACACAATTGTAATTGATAACATAGGACCCAAACCTACCACTCTTGCCTAGACAAGGAATCCTCTTTAATTTCAGATAAATGCTTTGAGAGGGAGGTGAGGAAGGAGCAGAGGACAAAACACCTTTAGTGAGTTGTGCTTGAGGGCTCAGGCACTTGGACTGTGTCCTGTTTGGTTTTCTTTCAGCCATGTGCATATAACACCGTTCATTCGGATTGTATTATCCACACATGTGGCATCTTAGTATGTAACAGGGCTTTTTTTAATATGCACTGGTGGCTGTTTTGTGTGGTTGCACTTCTCGGTGGTAAAACCCACCCCATGATCAATTTACAAAGTCAATGTCCTTTTGTGAAATCCTAATGGTGAGAAAATGCTACTTGGACATACTCAAGCTGAGTTTCCATTTGAAGTGAAATAAAGCCAAGTACGTGAATGTCAGCAAACTTGTTTATAGGGGTGGTGGTAAAGCATACATTATTTAGAAGGTTGAGTCATGAGTCTGGTCGGGTTTGTCATGTTACATCTGGCACGTCAGTCAAAGCTGGGACAGCTGCCGCCTGTCACTAGTGCTCTGGTGGGGCATTGTCCAGTGTTAGCAGCCAGCAGCCCCCAGCAGTCTGGGGAGGAACACTTCACCTGGGCCTATTTTCAGCATTTTCATTGCAACCACTTTTGGGGCTCCTTTGCAAAAGAGGGTGGTTTCATTTCACAGAACATCCGATATTTTTCATATCTGTTATTAGACAAAATATTCAAATAGTAGTGGTGATGTTTGTTAGTTTACAGGGAAAAAAATTGCACTTCATATTATAGAACATTTTGCATCTGTTTTGCTGTATACTTTGCTTCCAAACCACCTTAAATTACTTTAAAAAGTCATGTCAAAAGTCATATGCTGTCAAAGCAAAATTCTGTAAATATGGAGAACACCAACATCCACGGTGTCGTCATTAATTTTCATCATGCATTGCCACATGAAAGATGTGTATGCACTAAAAGAATTAGTGAAAATTATATTTATCACTACCAAGTCCAAATCTCTTTGTTTGAGCTACCAGTACACTTAAGTCACTATGCTTGTACTTGAATTCAGTAAAGTGGAAGTTGTAACAGATGTCCTCCGTTAGCAAAATTCATGGACATTTTTAAGTGAAGCTTTGCCCTTATGCTCAAAGATGAATTTTGTGATTGACTGAAAGTCAGATATTCCTTTAATTATGTCTCTTCCATTTATATTTTGTCAAAAATAAACTCAGTTTTGTGTTGCAATCTATATAACTTCCTATTGCTCACCACCTGAAAGAATCTCTGTTGGTTCCTTGGGTTAAAAAGAGGAAAAACAATAAAACAAAACATACTCTGGGTCTCCTGACAAAATAAATACTGGCCTCAGATTTTTGATAAAAATGCATCCCCTGCCTGTACTTTGGCAGGGGAAAGGAGGTTGAATACCAGGGGCTTTTGATTTCTTATAGAGCTGGAATGTCTTCCAGCAAGTTCAGGGCATGAACCTGCTGGTCAGCTTTTCTTTTGAGACTTGCAGTTTACACTTCTTGTGAAGTAAGAAAAAGGAATCTCTTTTAGGAATTTGGAAGGAATGTTTCATCAGACTCTGGAGGACAGGAACAATAATTCTACCTGCCTGCTGTCATGGAGAACATGCAAAAGAATATTGTTCTTCCTGCCAATGATAAAGGAGCATGATAAAGCAGAGTAGATGAGGCTCATTCATAATGAGATACAGGTCATGGCTGAGATCACATGTCAGGAAAAATTAACTGTTCTTAATCATGAAGTTCACAGACAAGAGAAGTGTTTCATGTAAAGTTTTTTTTAAGTTGGGTTAAAGATTCTTAAATTAAGATTTTGAGTATTCATTGTTGCGTTACTAAATTGCCATTCATTCTAATTTGAACACAAGTGACAATTACAACAACTTTGTTATAGAACTCTCACTGAATTTCTAGGAACTTTCATGGTAGAAGACATCTTTCAGTAATAAGGAAATTCAGTTTTATTGTGAGATAAAGTAATTGGTCTGAGAAGAGATTTTAATTGCATTTTATTATTTGCATCTAGTTTTGCAGTCTGTTCCAGAAAATACATATATACAGATAGACTCTAAGTTTCCACTTATGTGTCAGATCAGTGATGAGTTGAGAGGACATGCACTTGAGAAACTGTTCATATAGTTTATCAGAAGTTTTGTTCATGCATCAATATAAAAATAATAGAGCAAAGGTTCAGTTCCCACTAGAGGATGTTACAAATGTTTCTGTCTTTGCTTGAACTTCCTAGGTTTTTATCTCTCATTGGAGGAAATGCAAATGACATAGGAAAATCAGATATGCAGCAAAAAGTAAATGTAGTAATTGAAAAGGAAGGACTGGAAGGCACAGCCAAAAGGCTCAATACTACTGTGCACACACTGCAGCTGATCATTGATGGACTCACCCAGCCTGAAGGCTATGACATCCGAACAGGTAAACCTCGGTTTGGAAGGTTGTAATCTCAGTTTGTTTGTTCTACGTATCAGCTTTAAAACAGCACATTTTCTTCTTCTAAAATCAGTAGCAGATTTTCACAGACATGTAACTCCATTTCGTTTCTCAGTCAAGGTAAAGGCTATATCACAGTCAGATGTTTCTTTTCAGTTTTGTAGGTAAGTGTGAATCCTGTCTTAAATCATGGCATTTTCAGCCATAGGTAGGGGAGTTTTATGGCTGTTAACAAATGAAATAATTTCAATATGTTGACCTTCTACTGATTCAATCTGTGTTGGCTCTCCATCACAGAGGGGAATGCTGAGACCAAGGCGAAACAGTAGCAATAAAGTTCTGTGGAGCAATAGTGTGTAGTTCCTCACTAATATTGCCCTGGTTTCTGGGAGACCAGTGTAACTGAAGCACGTGGCTCATGACCTACCCTGGTTAAAACCTGCAGTGGTAGTGAACAGTTTGAGGTAGAGGAAAAGAAAGATGAAGTTTAACATTCTGGGGATAATGCTGTGTAATGAAAATTACAGCTGGTTTCTCTTACAACAGCGGGAGATAAAGGTAGACAGCAAAGATGAAGGTTTGTAATAATAAATAATAAACCTATGCTTAAAAAACCAGCCAAACGAACATTTCTGTCCCCCTTTTTTAGTTCATGAATTGATTCCATGCTTATTTTTTAAATATTCCTCCCTAGTGATCTTGAAAATGTGTATTTTCAATGTCTCAATTTCTTCTGGTGATCTCACATCTAAATTACAGTAGGATAGACTAATAACATAGGAAGACATAAAAGCAAAAGAGAGAATCTTCAATGGAAATATTCATATTCTGCTGATCTAGGACATTCAATATTACTTTAGACAGAGTGTGGTTGGAGAACAGCCTAGTAGACTTATGTAGCTGTATGGATTTCTCCATCATGAGTTCTTCCCATGGGTCCCTTGCAGTTCTTCATGAACTGCTCCGGCATAGGTCCCTTCCATGGAATGAAGGCTTTTAGAAACAGGCTTTCATTGTACCTTAATGAGGTCACAAGTCCTGACAGAATACCTGCTCTAGTGTGGGCTTGCCTTTTTTCAGGCATCCATCTGTTCTGGTGTAGGGCCCTCCATGAGCTGTCGGGGAATCTCAGGTCTGGCATCTGGAGCTCTTCCTCCTCCTCCTTCCCTGGTCTGCAGAGCTGTTTCTGTCACATATGCTCACTTCTCCCTCCTGGGCTGCAATTGCTGTTGCACGGGGAATTTTTTTAATTTTTACGATATTTTACCCCTGAGGCACTTGCCACCATTGTTAATGGGCTTGACCTTGGACAGGAGTGGATCTATTGGATACAGGCAAAGCCACCACTCATAGCAGCCCACACACACACACCCCTACTGAAACATTGCCATGCAAAGCCAATGCAGATCCAGAGACTGATTAAATTCCAGTGCATTTTAGCTATAAACTTGTTCAGGCTGAATTTTATTTCTCAAAAGCAAACAGAGAAAAATTATTGCAATTCTGGTTTGGTGATGTTCCTTGTGGAAAATCTCAATCCTTATTATATCTTGGAACGGTCTAACTATGGTAGAAAAAGATTGAAAGAGGAGTTACTGAGATGATTCAGAAGGGTTTTCTACAGGAGCAGAAAATGGTAGGGAAATAAAAGAATTTTAAAATAAATCTATCTGTGCTCTTAAATACAGAATTTGAACATTAATATCCCAGTATAATCCCTGCTCCTGATCATGCCTGTGTGATTTTCAAGTTGTTGGTGCAAAGCAGCACTGTGATGAAGCTCATGTGATGTCATGGTGCAGATGAGCAGCAAGCCTAAGAACAATGCCTTGCTGGCTTTTCTTTTAGTATGTGATGAAACTGAGTATTCATCTTCCTGTGAATTTGTAGCAATTTCTATAGGAATAGTATTTCATGTATAGTTGATGTAGTTTGAGTCACGTCAAGTGTTTTCTCCCTAGAACTGAGAAAATTTAAAGAATCTTTCAGTCACTGCCTACTAGACAACATGCTTCTGATCCCCTTATGATAGTTTATACAAATTACACAAAATTCAGTATACTTACTCAGTAATCTAAGTGTTTTCAAGTGATTCACAAAATATAAGAAACAAGTTATCACAGATGCAGTATTTGGGACCTAATATCTACCTTGGGATGGCTTATTAATTAGAAATCATCTGGAAACAACTCTTAGAAACCCTTTTTCTCCAGAGTCTTATTTGTGTTTCTTGTTTCTTGTAACAGATTTTGATAAACCTGACTTCAAGAGAAGCATAGTCTGCATGGAAGACTTAAGTGTCGGTGCTGTTTTGACTGGAAAAGTTGAAAATGCAACGCCATTTGGAGTTTTTGTTGATATTGGTGTGGGAAAATCAGGTTTGATTCCAGTGCGAAGCATAACAGAAGCAAAACTCTCTAAAGTGAAGAAGAGAAGAAGCCTGGGCCTGGGTCCTGGAGAAAGAGTGGAAGTTAAAGTGCTTAATGTTGATATTCCTCGCCTGAGGATAACATTGGATCTTGTGCGTGTTTTATGAGAGGGGTTTCAGTAACTGAGCCTTGACTTTAAAGGATAAGTAATGTCAGCAAGGTTATGGAGAGTCAGGCATTTATTGAATGTTGAACACATTTTGAAACCTTCAGCGCCTTGCCTTTTTTTTTTTTTTAATTTTAGTTTTACCACATTTCTTGTATCCTTTCTGTTAATAATTCTTGGAACACTTTTCTGGATTACCTCCAACCAATCTTGTTATTTTGTCTGCAGAGCAGATGAAGCTCCAGTGGGCTGTCAGACAGATCTCTTATCTGTTGTCTGTGCAAGATTTGCTGTCTTAATCTTCAGTTAGTACTGCATGAACAAATACATCTGCAGTTCCCCTCCCAAAAAACAGCCATTCAGTTTGCCTGTTTTCTGGTTGACAGTCTAAAGGAGGGCTCCTACTGGCAGAAAAAAAGGATCTTTTGAAGTTAAGTGGTAATGATGTTGCATCAAAAGTAGACTGAGGAAAAGGCATCTGCTAAAACTATTGATGGTTTAGAAATAGTTATCTTTAATTTATTTGTAGAAATATACACTTGTCTGTTTACCTGTGTTATTTTTGTTTGTTCAGTTATCATGATTTAACATAGTTGGATGTACGTTGCAGTTTGAGGAACTTTGCTCAAAGGTGTCAAAAGACATTTGTTTTGTTCTATACTTCTGCAAAATAAAAACAGTTCTGTCCATCTTTTCTCGGTGTACTTGATCTACAAGTAGTTTAACAGTCCTAGTTGTCTTTCATTCCAACATGTGCTTAATCGCCAACGCTTTGAATGCTCATTGTTTCCTGCTAGGAGTGCCTAGCACAGAAGGTTTGTTTCTTCTAACTAGAGACTTCTTGGTTTTGTGGTATTTTGGTGGTGTTTCAAAGGATTTAACTCTTGAGCCAAGTTTGCAAAGGACAGGTATACTGGAAGACCAGTTTCTAGCAACAGCAGATTATATAGATATATATGTGTATACATGTATGTGTGTGTATATATCTATCTATATATATATATATATGTATGTATGTATGTATGTACAGGGAGTTTACAAGTGTATATTACAGGGAGTTTTGGTGTGTTGGGTATTTATTCCTTTGCAGTCATCCAGTTTAAGTTGGCAGAAGCTCTGGTCTGCAACAGATGAGCCCAAATATACCATAGCAAGTGTCAAAGATCTTCAGTTATAAGGTTTCTAACTACAAATGTCCGAGTAGCTGCTGGCACAGGGTCTAGCTCCCAGCTCTGTGCTTTAGTTTGCAAAATGATGAGCCAGCTGTAGACAGTGTATTTTGGAGATTGAAGAATCATTTAGCAAATGAAAAAAAGAAGACAGTTCTTACTAGCTTCAATGGATTTGTTCACTGAAGAAAAGACAACCATTTTCTGTTATGTTGAAGTCAGCACACCTTGGAAACATGTTTTGCAGGCCTTTTGAAGTTTTCTTGTAATATTTCTACAAGGTATATTTTGTTGTTATGAAATTAGAAACTGTAATACCATGTTACTGTCTTGAAAAACAGAGATGGAAAGCTAAGAAGTTGAAATTATTTTTTTTTCCTGCAGGTGATACATTCACTGACAGCAGTATGTCGATCAGTACAATGATTTAAGTTGTATTAAACTTTATATGTGATCTCTGCAGTATCTATGCACTCAGCAACTTAACTGGATTTGTTTGGCCTTCTCTAAGGAGGAGATAAACTTGATTTCCTGAAGCACAATTTAGTGAATAATATAAAGAGTATTTTCTCTTTCTGTGGTATTTTGTTACTGAAATTCTTTTTTTTTTTGATCTGGAGTATTGTGAGGACTGTAGCATCTTTTGCATTTTTGTGTATGACTGTTGAATTATCATGAAGTTCTCTAAATGCAAGACATCTTGAGACTGTTTTTCTCCTGTTAATTCACAGGAGGCATTTTACCTACTCAGAAGGCAGACCCACAATTCATTGTACATACTCATAAATAGTTTGCTTTCTCTATAGAGTAACTCAGCAGCTTATCCTGTGTCATCACAGGGACTGTAGGAGAACATCATGTCTATCTCTTCAAATTTTAACCACACCAAAATGGGAAGTTTATGACTTCATCATATGTCTTACATGTCTGCAACTCTGCAAATGTAATCCCATTATTTGTCAGCTAGTGCAGTGCCTTAACTACTCCCCACTTAAACATTTTTCCATTGCAATTTCTTTTTTTCTTTGCCAGAGCACAGCAGTTAAAACAGCCTAGTGAGAGTCTAACAAGGATGAATAATCACAATGTGAACTTCTCAGGTTTTGCCAGATCTTTGGAGATTCAAAAATTATTTCTTCTTAATCTAATTCTCAGTTTTCATCTTGAATTCTTGTGATGTTCAGATTTCTGATATCAAAGCATCAAAATGGTTTTCTGTAATTTATCTCCGCCTTTAGTTTCTGAACCAAGACATGATTTTTTTTTTCTCGAATGGTTGCTTTTTCCCATTTGAAATTGTGTCCAATCTTTGGAACAAATTCAGTACTGCTTACTGGTGGTGCCTTCAAAATTTTGAACAAACAAACAAACCCCTGCTTCCTCCTGGTTTTAGTTAATTTCTTCAAAGTTTCTCAGAAGAATTATATACAAGTCTTTAAGTCTCACTAAAATTTCTGCTTTTGCCTGAAGCTGTAGATTCCAAGGCATCTACACACCTTGTAGTGTAGTTCCACCTCTCCCCAGAGAGAAAATCCAGCTCATTGATCTTGGATGACAGTCTGCCTTTTTAGTCCCACCCTCACTCACGTAGTCTGGTATTTTGCAATCACCTTCCCCTGATATGCAGACACATAAGAGGAGCTTCTAAAGATTTCCTGTGCTTCAGATATTGCACAAAGGAGAAGAATTTTTCTACTAAGCAAGATGGCACTTGTATGCCTGGCTGTAGTAATGCAAAACAAGAGTTTAAAAGAAGCCATTTGTTTTGGTTTTATTCCTGCCTCAGGCAGTTTTAGACAGCATATATCAATTTTCCAGAAACTTGTCAACCTCAGGAATGATTTAGTATGCTGTTAAACATAATAAAATCAATAGGAAAACAAATAGAATTTCCATGAGGAGCAGACATTTGGAGAAGCTGGTCCATATGGCATATAGACATGCTGGAATTTGGGCTTTGTGGGGTACTTATGTTAGAAAAACTGCATACCGCAGGAAAGTAATGCATAATTCAGGAGAACAAATAATCTAACAGCTTTGTGGTAGTGTGTCTTGAACTTGGTGTCTGTATTTATTTAACAACAAATACACTTAGAAACTCTATGCCTGGAAGCTAGAAACCAAACATGAATCATATTTGTCTAATTTCAGAGCTTTCTATAAGGAGCCTTACCCACTGTGAAGTGAGTGCTGAGTGAGTTCCCAGTTCAGCCTGAGTAGCACCTTGCTTTTCTAGACTTCCTGAGGATAATTCATGTACCTACTTTGCTCTGCTTAAGGACATCCAGCTTCAAGACTATCAATCCTGTGAGACAGTGGAAGGAACAAGCTGGTCATGCCAGTCCATGTTACTCTATGTCTCCCTTTTGTTCAAGGTTTCAGAAAAAGCTGCGAGGGAGTTCGTGTGTCTCCAGGGCGATGTAAAGGCTGGGCCAGTCAGTAATTCCATATTCCTTCCTGTTAGAGACCACCTAAAGGTTTGAGAGCACCTCTGTTTACTGCCCCAAAGTTCCCTCACCTGCCTCATGGGCATGTAGAAACTGTAACTGTTTAGAAGTGTTTCATTTTGAGAAATCCCTTTGAATCCATGCTCTATAAAGCTTCACAAGTAAATGATGTGTCTGTGTTTCTCACAGCAAACCTCAGTGACTAGTTTATAGAGAACTTCAATTGCCTGTTTCCATTTGAGCCTCTAAATGGTCCCTCTGGTGGATGTTGTAACTCTGTGCTGGCTGCAGGTACCTCCTGCCAGGAGGCTGTTGGAGATCACTGCTTATTGACAGGTATTTCTAGGAGCTGACCATCTAGAATTATGGTTGGGTATTTTATCAGATATAAGTCACCCATAACAGCAAGTGATGACAATTTGTAGACCCCTGGAGATGAACAGCAAATCATAAGTGTATGTATTGCACCACAGGCTTTACTACAGATTCTGCAAGCTGGAAATAGCAAAATTCTGTACCCTGGGAATAACAAAATTCTTCAGTCTGGGAGGGACCTGTGCAAGAGTACTGCTTCTGTGTGAGCTTCCACAATGGGGACTACTGCTTTTATTCAAGTCTGTTTGGCTTCATGCTGTTTCTATAACTGTTAGGTCTCCTGTGAGCATGTTCTAGCGGCATCAAGAATCCTAAGAGATTCTCCATGCTTTGAAAGTGAGAGAGCCTTGGTGGCCATGTCCAGATCAAGGTGAGTCATCCCACTGAGAATTTTAAATCTAAACAAAAGTTTGGGGTAAAGCACTCAAATCTCATCTCACATGCTTTCTGTCCCTGACTAGGAGCTGACACATGTTTGAAATTCATCACCTTGCCCTTTGTTTCACAAGATAGAGCTTTTACCTTATTTGACTTCTAGAATTGAAATACACTAAGGCATGTTCAACACAGCAGCCCAATGGTTATTATTAGAAATTTTTGGTTTGTTTCCCTCTCTTGTTCTCCAGAAGAAACAACAAAGAAGGGAGCATTTAGTAAACTGATTGACTTCTTTAGCTTTATTAAATCTGGTGGAGTTCAGGTTTTTAATTTTTGAGATATTGTGTTTAAGCAATAATCAGGAGACCAGCACCTCAGAAAAGTTAATTGGAATGTTGGTTTTTTCTTATCTTACAGATCTACTTATCCTGCTACACTTGTATGTTACTAAATAAAAAGTGTTTTCAGTATACAATCAGCTAAGCTGGAGTTTTGCATTATCATATCTCAATGACAGTCATATTTCTAGGAAGGACTGCCTTTATTTGTGGTCAAGCAGAGAATTTTTTGCATCTGACTCACAGTGAGGTATGTGGAAATAATGTCATGAGAGGAACTGTTATGCTTGAGGGTCATTTACAAAGACCAAATAGAAGTGAAATCTTAGGAAAGTTCTTTCACCTCAGAATTAAATGTGTGGAATATCTTGGCAGAGAGTGGAAACTGCCACATACCAGAGGCTGTATGGCACCATGATTGCTTTTTTGTGTGACGAGAAGAGGGAGGGGCAGGAAATGGAGGGATTTGGGAAAGAACA